CCTCTATCCCGCATTCTCCGTCTCTTTGCTAATCGTGCTCTCCTGCTATTTGCTGCTCGCTCTCCTTGCTCCCGCTCTACTCTCAGCAGTTTATCCTCTCTCCCCTCCCTTGATGTCCTTGGCTTCGTTGACGCGCTCCTAGGTCAAGATTTCTTCCACTGTGCTCACAGTGCAAGGGCTTCCTGCACTCGACGTCCTGCGAAGACTTCTGTGCTGCATGCAGTAAGGAGCGGCAGGAGCTGGAGCAGGAGGCCATGAGGAGGAGGAACAAAAGCGGGATCGGGAGGAGAAAGGGAGCGGGAGCGGGAGCAGAAGGAGCAGGAGGGGTTGGAGGAGGGATGTTTGTGTTTCGAGTTTTTGCAGTTTCTGTATGAATGTGCTACCCCTTGGAGGGAGACGGTGATGAACGACGGGAGAGGTCGCGAGCCAGGGCGAAGGGTAGAGGTAGAAGGAGGAAGGGGAAGCAAGGTGGGGGGAGAGAGAGGGAAGAGGAAAAAGGGAAGAGTCTGATGACGGAGCAAAGTAGGACGGAGGGAGAAAGGGAGCGAGAGGGAGCGAGAGGGAGGGGAGGGAGGGAGAGTGGAGGGAGAGTGGAGGGAGAGTGGAGGGAGAGTGGAGAGAGTGGAGGGAGTGGGGAACGGGAGCGTTGGAGGAAGAGGAAGAAGAATCAGTTCTACGAGACTACATTGAACTTTGGAAAGCACAAAGGACCGGTTCTAATAATAATGAAAATAAGGGTAGGGTAGTCCCTCATAAAGGAATGGCATTCATCGGCCGCCTGGTATGGCGAGGAGGGGGGGGGGGAGGGAGCCGGAGCAGGAGCAGCAAGAGGACGAGCAAGAGGAGAAGAAGAAGCAGGAGGAGTGGGAGGAGAGGACGAGCAAGAGGAGCAGGAGCAGGAGGAGAAGGAGAAGGAGCAGGAGCAGGAGGAGAAGGATGAGCAAGAGGAGCAGGGGGAGCAGGAGGAAGAGGAGGAGTAGCAGGGGCGTGAGCGAGAGAACAACACGCATTAGGCTGCTTACCCCACCTGCAGCTTGTGCTCGCCGGCTTGTCGGCGTCATGCCTTGCCTTCAGCCCTCAGCTGACCCCAGGGCTCAGGAGGCAACTTGTCGTCTCCTCCTCCTCTCCTCCACGTGACGTTGACGCGCAGGGACGTGGCGGTGATGGCAAACGGCTATGGGGCGTCTCGCCGCACGTTCTTGAAGGAGACAGCGCTCATTGCAGGTTGCCCGTCCTTCTTCCCTCCCTCCCTCCCTGTCTCCCTCCCTGTCTCCCTCCCTCGCTCCCTCCCTGTTTGCCTCCCTCCCTGCCTCCCTTCCTGCATCTAGGCGCGCGCGCGCTCTCTTCCCTCTTCCTCCTCCTGACTATTCCCCGTGTCCTTTAACTGCTCTTGTTGTTCCTCCCTCTCTTCCTCTTCCTGCCTCCGAACGCTCCTCTTCCTTGTTCTCCTCCTCTTTCCGCGTTATCCTTCTCGACTTTCCCCTCCCTCTTGCTCCAATCACTCCTCCATTGCAGGAAGCTACATCGCTGCTCCGAGCTGGGCTGACGACAAGGGAGGGAAAGACAGTTCAGAGTCCAAGACACCAAAGGATAACGGCAGCAAGACCGCAGGTCTGCTCACCTCTCATCCCCGTCCTCCTTCCCGTCCCCGTTCTCGTCTCCAACAATCACCACCAAGTTCACCACTTTCTTCCCCCGCCCCACTCCCCATACACACTCTGCTGTTCCCCTCCTGCTTCGGTTCCCATCCCTCTCCCCCCCTTCTGCTTCTCGGCATTCTCCTTACTCCCCCCCGCCTCCAGCTCCCAACCCTCCTCCTGCAGATGAAGCCGACGCCTACGACGCCTCTCTAGGTGGGTGAGAGGAGCGTCTTGTGTAGCGGCTCACTGGGACAGAGCAGGCGTCTTCGGCTGCTCTTTCTGGGGACTTGAGAGGAAGCCGAACTCGGGCAGCTGCCAGCCAAAGTCGAGCAAGGAGACCAAGTGAAAGTAAAAAGAGGCAAAGTGCCAACAGTGCA